TGTACTCAGCTGGGTCTTGTGCCTACCTTGCCTCACTTGCTCACCCCTTGACCTTGTTTGTACTGTTGCATATATATATACACCTGCTCTTGCTTGTCTAGCCTTATATATATATGTAATCCTGCATGTGAACTGGCCTTGTGGCCTTGAACTTGTGCTCGGAATGTGTGGTGACTTTGTGATCCACCCTGAGCTTGTTTTGCTTTGCTTGACTGGTCTTGTGACCCCTTGTTCTCCCCCACTTTGCCTATGGGGGTGTGTCAGATTTATATGACATAGCTACTGTAGGCTATAGTGGGGTAGCACATATGGGGTACAGTTTTCTAGGGTTTGCTTTTGTACCCAACTTTCCTTTAGTCAATTCATTCCTCATTTCTTCACAGCCGTCTCAACCGCCGCTCCGGCTTCTGTGAGTTCTTGGATAGCGGTATGTGTGAATGTAGCATGCGTGTATGCTCCGGCGTGGTTGCGCTGACGGAAGGGCTGTGGTGGGCCATGGCTCCATGGAAACCAGTACCCTTTGGCGATTATGGAGAGGACGAGGCTGCAAGGGCACCATGAGCTCCACCACGCGAAGGTCGAGCGCAGCCGGCCGCACATCTGTGTGACGGTTTTGTCAGTGACCGCGAATTCGTACGGATCGCCATCGCGTGGCACCTCGTATTGCCGTGCGCCTGTGCATTTGCGGCATGGCAATGAAATGGAACAGAGGGTCGCTTTCCTTAGTTAATGCATAAGCCTGGCGTGTGTATGCATGCGCCAAAGATAACTCGACAAAAGCATGAGCAATGCTGACGGTTTGTCGTCAGGCCATGGAAGCTTGAGCGAATGCATTGCACGCCAACCGGCGTATGGGTATGATCCCCCTCCGTTTCACAACCATATCGGCCTCCCTTCCCATGATGGGGTGTGTGAAGTGGTGTTTTTTTTTTTTTTTTTTTTTTTTTTTTTTTTTTTTTTTTTACAAAGCCTTCTTCTCACCGCACCTTGGCAAGCTCTTTCCCATGCTCTCTCTCCACACCCCCCCCCTTTTTTTTTTTTTTTTTTTGCCTTGTCGTCCACTCGGTAGGACGCAGTTCCTGCCCTTGGTGTGTGGGGTCGGTGCTTGGGACCAGAATCATGCTTGTTCCCTTTCTCCTTTTCTCTCCCTCTCTCTTTCTCTCTCTCTTTCTCTCTATCTTTCTTTCTCTCTCTCTCTCTCTCTCTCTCACTCTCTCTCCCTCTCTCTCTCTCTCTCTCGCTCTCTCTCTAATGGCCCTTTCATTGATAGTCAAAGCGTACAGACATGCAAGGGTGGGGCTAGTACTGCCTATACTTCCTATTCTCTCATCCTGCTCTGCACCCTCTAAGTGAGATCCAGTGTTGGATCAAGAACCGCGAGGCAGTCCCCAAGAGACGGGGCCTCACCCACTACTTCTAGTAGCGGGTTTTCAACTGCTGCTGCTATGTTGCACTTTTCCAGGTACCCAATCGACTGCCCACGTTGAAGAGCCACTGACCACCGCTGCCGGTATTGGTGTAAGAGCTTGGCAGCTTGGTAGGAGGTGGGCTCGGCGTTGAAAAACCGCCGTGCAGCCGTTTCTGCGAGTAGTTTCAGGAAGTCTACTGACTCTGGGCAGGGACACCCGTATGTCTCGACCGCTAGTGGGAAGAACTTCACCCACTCTGGGCGGTCCTTGTAAAGGCCGTGTTTCTTATCTGCTGCCTCCCGTGCCGCCCACCCCCTCCCCTTGGTGGCGTTCTCATCGCGGGTGCTGATGGGGTCCGTTATCGTCACATCGCAGATGTAGACGGCGCCAGTAGAGCGGCAGCGTAAGGCCAGGTCTGCCTTCTTCTCCTCCACTGGGCTGAAGGCGGCCGTCTCGATGTGCACCATGAAGCCTGCATCTTGCGCCATCCGCGCGCACTCATCTCTGAGTTCATTGTGTGTGTTTGTGCGCCCCCCCCCTGTTCCGCACCGAAGCAGGTGATTCGGGAGCCGCTTATCCGGGATCTCCACCTTCTTGGAGCAGTTGCAAACCCCTGGAGCCGCGAAGGGGAGCCCTAGCCGAAACCGGAGCGCGTTGGCATAGTGGGGAGCCTCAAGGCGGAGCGAGGAGTGGATGGGCACTGCGTTTAACCAATCCCCCGCCCCATACCCTGACAGGGACAGCATCCGCTGCGTGTGACCGTTGGTGGGGTTCGGGTTCATCCCCCGCACCTCCTCCACCTGCTCGGCATAGCGCTGGCCCTGGATGGCCGTGGCCAGCCCGTGCTGTAGTTTCCCTGCAGTTGGAGCCGATCTCTCAGCCTGAAGAGCTTCTTGGGCTGGAAGCGGCAGTTCCCCTTCACATTCCGCAAGCCATTCGGACAAGGGGGAGGACTCGGTGTAGGGGCCACGCATCAGCTCACGCGTGACTTCCAGTGGGCCGGTGCACTCGCTGTCCAGGGAGTCAAGCAGCAGCTGCGCCTGCGTGTAGCTGGCGAGGAAGCTGTAGCTTCCCTCTACTGATGGGTCCGTCAACCCAAGGCCACCGAGCGACACGGGGAGTGAGGCTTGCGCCCACGTGCGTGAAATCTCCTCGTCCCCACGAGGGTGATTGATGGCGCATGCTGTTAGTAGTGTTTCCAGCAGCCTCCGTCCCCACTCAGACCACTCCTCCTTTGGCAGGAAAGGCAGTGGGGTTGTGCGGGCTAGGTATGACACTCGGCGGGAGATACACCGGGAAAGCAGCAGTCCCGCCAGCTGTGGCTCCATCCGCTCAATCAATCCCAGCGGTGCGCCCATCGCCTCCAGGCTGGACCGTATGAAGCCAGTGGTTGCCGTGGAGGTGCCAATGTAGCTGCCCAGCACCTTCAATCCGTCACTGCTGGGAGGGACCCCCTCTGGCAGGCGGTAGTCCGTGGGCGTCCTGCCTGCCCAAGCCCCGCACTTGGCAGGATTGTGGCTGAGCCCGATTTCTGCCAAGCGGCCCGTGAAGTGTGTAAAAGCAGCTGCACATGACGACGGTTCTCCCAGGAAGGTCACGTCGTCCGCGTAGGCCAGGCAGATGACCTCGGGGTGAGCCTCCGCTGCTGCTCTCAAAGCTGGTTGCATGGCCGCGGCAAAAAGAAGGGGGCCGAGGGGATCTCCCTGGCGGACCCCTGTTTCACTGAGCAGGGGTGGGTGGGCGAAGGCTGCATCCAGATGCAGCGTGGAGGGTTGGCCGTACGAGAAATGCACCAACGGCAGCAGCGGCTCTAGCTGCGATCCTTTCAAGGCCGTCGCTATGGCGCGGCGCCTGACACTATTGAACGCATTGGCCAGGTCGGCCTGTAACACCAGGGCGTCCTGGTTGGCTGCTGTGTAGGTCCGGACAACATGTATGACTGCTTCTGCTCCTCCTGGCACGGCTACTCCGAACTGTAAAGGTAAGAAATACTCTCGTGCTGCGTCCGCTACCTGAGTAAGTGCTGCCTTGGCTGCTAAACGCAGGATGCACTCCCCTATGGCAATCGGTCTCGTTCCTCCATCCGGCTTGTCGAGGGCTATCAAGCGCGAGGCTGTAAGAAGCTTCCCTACTTCCTGGTGCAGCTTCCCTCTCAGGATTGTGTTAACCAATGCATGTAGGTGAGAACCGACCGTGGGGTGTATCAGGGCAGCTTCGCGCAGGTGCTCGAATGTTGTCCCCGAGGGACCTGCACCTACCCCATTTTCACATTTCGAGAGGAGCTTCAGGAAAATTTCCCATGATACTGCCAGGTAAGTGTCTGGGTTGGGCTCGGGCCAGGATGCGTCGGAGTGATTCTAAAACCGCAGGTGAGGGCTTGCTGACTGGGGTGGCTTCCAGTGCCATGACTGCTCTCCGTAAGCTGCCACATCGCGCCAAACCCTCTGCCCTGGATATGATCCCCAGGTCGTCTGGCTGGTGTCTGGGAGGGGGAGGGGAATCCAACGAATCAACCGTCTCCTGGTACAGTGCCTCCCATTCCCCTCGCAGGAATTTACGCAATCTTTCCCTGGTCGCCTTCCAGTCAGGGTGCCTCGGCGAATGCTGACGCAGCGTCAGGCGAGCCGCAAACAGCAGAATCGTCCAGGCAGGGATGGAGTCTGGGTCGTGTGCTAGTCGTAGCAGTGGTGTCAGCATTACCATAGCGAAAAGTAGGCGCAGTTTTTCCGGCAGGCGACGTGCCAGCGGAGCGTTGCGACTATCGCGCAGCTTATCCAGATTCCAGGTCCTGACATTCGCGAATAGTGTGTCGTCCCTGGCGAGGGCTTCGGGCGACTTTTGGGGAGGGGGTTGTAGTTGCTGTTGGTTACCCCTCGCTGCTCTTCGCGGTACATTTGCAGGTGGCGATGTCAGGTTTGGTTGGGCGGGATGGTTGGCAGTGGTGGCAGGGCGGCGGGAAGCGGTTTGAATTTGTGGTGAGGGTCGCGGCTGGGTGGGTGTGTTTGTGAAATTTGTAGATGCGCCTCGGGCATGGGTTGGGCCGATTCTCCCCCGAGCTGGAGTTTGTGACTGGGCCTCCTCCGAGGCATTCGAATTTGAAGGTGAGTCTGCTTCTTCCTCCTCCGCCGCATAAATGCTACCCGATAATTCGCCTTCTTCATTAGTTCTAACTAAATCGTTTAAAGCCCTTCTTGCTGCTGCCTGAAACGCATTCTCCGGACCTCCTTCCCGAGTGCCCCTGCCATGTCCGCGACCTCCGCCTCGACCCCCTCGTGTCCGCGCGCTGGCCGCGGCCAGCAGGGGACTTTCGCGACTACCTATTCCCGCGTTCTGACACATCCGTGTGTCCTCCAATGCCTGCTGCCGACGCGTTCGCCGAGATGGCGACTGAAGCGGCAAGGTCGATGGTGGACCTACGTCACACCGCTGAGAGCGTGCTTGCTCCGCCTCCGGAACCTGCCGCCCCTGCCGCTGAGGCTCCAACTGCTCCCCCGGTTCCCCTTGCCGCTGCTGCGCCGTCAACGGCCCCAGTCCAACTGGCGTCTGCTCCCCCGCCAAGCCTCCCTCTTCCTCTCGGTGCTCCTGCCCCTGATGCGCCCGCTCCTGTTGCGCCGCATCCGCCTGCGGCGTCGCCACTTGTCCAAGCTGCCGCCGGCGTCCCTGCGCCGGGGACAGCGGAGGGCGCCTCCCACGACCCCGCGCACCAGGTCGCACTTGCGTCTGCGCCGGTACAGCCCGTCGCACAGCCGCGCGCGGAGTCCCACAGTCGTGGTGTTGCTAGGGGCAGTGCGGCGGCGCATCGGGGGCGTGGTTCTCCTCGGCGTCGCCCCTCCCCATCGTACCGGAATGCGCATCGCGGTGGCCGCGGTGGCTGGTGGGGAGGTCACGGTCGCGGACGTGAGGCGCCGAGCGAGATGCAACAGTTACGCGACGACTTCCCTACGATGTTGGCCGCGGCGATGCGCGAGGCTCAGGCGTGGTTCCTGGGCCGAGTGCTCGAATCCTGTGGCTGCCCAGGCTCCTCCTGCTCCACACGTGGTTCCTGCGCCGAGTGCTCAGGCGTACCCGCAGGGTCCAGGCCCAGCTGTTGGCCGTGCACCACCACCCGCGTCTCGTCCAGTCGCCGCCGCTCCGTATCCCCCTCTTCCATGGATTCCCCCCATTCCGGACACGTGATTTGTGGGAGCGGGAGGCGGAGAGGCGAGGGGGCCCTTCCGCCCTCTGCGTCGCGTTGATGAAGGTCCGACTGCGCCCCCTCCGCCAGCTCTTCCCGTTCCCGCTGCGGCGAGGCTGACCGGGACGGCTGAAGTTCCCACGGCGACTCTCGCGCAGCTGTGGCGCTTGGTGGAGTGCCAGCAGGCCCTGACACTGATTCTGGTGAATTCGCACTTTGCCATCCTCCGGAACCCAGGGAGCACTCTCGATCCGATGGCGCGAGCTGATTGCTTGGCAGCGGCAGCGCAGTTCGCCTTCCTCCTGCTACCCGTGCTGGGAGCGCCCGCGCCGGGAGGCGTTGCGGTAACGCAGCTGGACCTGACTGTCCAGGATCTGACTGGGCACCTCCGTGAAGGAGGCGCTGTTGAAGCGCTTGGCGCGACCGCGTTAGTGGTCCGCCAGATGTGGAGGACCATGCGAGGGATCCTCGCGGCACTTGACGCCCACTTGATGTAGGTTTTGGCGTCCGCCGCACGTAGACGTGCTGCATCTTGATTATCTAGGTGTTGCGCTTGTTGGTTGCCTCCATTGTGTCTTGTTTGTCTTATGCTCTTTTCAGATTGTTGCTTGTCTCCCCAAAGCACGCGGCCGAAGGCCGCGCACGCGAGCGCTGGCGGCCGCCGGCGCGAGTGCCGCTAAAAACTGGAACGAAATGAACTAATGGGAGAGGAATGGCCAGTCGGGCCCCTTATATAGCCAGAGTGCAGGGGCAGAGGCTAGAGGCAGAGGCTAAGTCCTCTCTCTCTCTCTCTCGCTCTCTCCATGCCGCTAAAAACTGGAACGAAATGAACTAATGGGAGAGGAATGGCCAGTCGGGCCCCTTATATAGCCAGAGGGCAGGGGCAGAGGCTAGAGGCAGAGGCTAAGTCCTCTCTCTCTCTCTCTCTCGCTCTCTCCATGCCGCTTAAAACTGGAACGAAATGAACTAATGGGAGAGGAATGGCCAGTCGGGCCCCTTATATAGCCAGAGGGCAGGGGCAGAGGCTAGAGGCAGAGGCTAAGTCCTCTCTCTCTCTCTCTCTCTCTCTCTCTCTCTCTCTCTCTCTCTCTCTCTCTCTCTCTCTCTCTCTCTCTCTCTCTCTCTCTCTCTCTCTCTCTCTCGCTCTCTCAGTCCTTATTGTTATTTGGAGATATGTATGCCTACCTTACTTGGGCCCATGCCCTTCCGCACGTCCCCTCTCTTGGGCTCCCGGCCTCTCCCCTTCTTTATTATTGTTTGTTCTCATACGGTCCATGCTATTTCGTGTCCTTTGGGGCCTACTTCCAATAAAGCCAAGGCTGCCCATCCTTGCCATTTCCAGCGGCGGCGGTTCGAGTGAGGAACATATGATGCATTTTCTCCTTCTCTTTCCCCTCCTCCATTTCCTTTTTGGATCCTTCACCAAGCAATGGGTCGAAATCCTTCATCTCATGGGTCATACATTGCTATGTCAACTAGCATGCTTTTCATCCCATCAATTGGGGCATACGGGGGACCAAGAGGCATTCTTCCTCTTCCCCAAAGCTAGGCGCATGGCCCTTAATTACTACCCTATCCTAGGGCTAGCCCATGGCCACCGCAAGGCCTAATAGGCTGCCCACGGTCTAAGCACTCGAGAGTGCACCGTGCATCACGCCCAATGGCTTGCTTAGCCATATCCCGACCCCTACACGACGGGTGCGGGTCCTTGGCCTCCTTGCCCGTTCCGAGGGCAGGCATTGGCGACGTGGCCCGGCTGACCGCAGCGGAAGCACGAGCCACGAAAGCCGTGGAAGCTGCCCGATGGCGGCGGTCCACGCTTTGGGGGGAACGCCGTTGCGCCGTTGTTTCCGCCGCGGTTGAAGCGAGCATGAGCGGCCGCCGCTCGGTCCATGGCAGCAACGTCCGCGACTGCCTGCTTGTATGGCCGCGAGGTGAGCAAGCTTTTCTGCAGGTACATCTTGTAGCGCTTGGCGACGCGTTCATCGGCGGCATCTTCGACTTGAAACATGTCGAAGCGCACCGAGATGTCGTCGAGAGCGGCGACGACCATTTCGAGTCCGCCAGCCAAGTCGTCGTGCTGCAGCTTGTACTCCGTGTGCTTCAGGTAGGCCCTCATGTCCTCCAAGACCTCCGCTTTCGCCCGCACTTCCGGGTGGTTGAACGTCACCGCCGACCACGTGGTGTTAGTGCTAGAGGGGAGAGGGGGGAGGTGTTCCATGGAGATAAAATTTGGAGCATTGACTGGAGCCTCACCGTTGTCGTCGTCGGAGTCGTCAGTGTCATTATCAGCAGCTGGCGCAGGTGGGATGTTGGCCGCTGCTTCCTTGTCGTGCCGGTTCGCCGTTGTTCCTCGCGCTCCTTTTTGTGTTTTTGAAGTTTCCTTTTTTGCAGAAGCAGAGGCCGCGGGTAGTGCAGTTTCCGCAGGTGTAACGCTGACGGGCTGCTGCTGTAACAGGGACAGAAGTGCGGCAATTTGGTCCGGGGTCAACGCCGGAGTCAACGCCGGGGTCGTCGCGTCAGACGAAGACGCCGTTCGGCGCCTCTGGCGCTGGCGCGACGGTCCAGCCACAGGCGCTGGCGCGTGCTGTGCGTCAGGCGCGTGTGGCGCCACAGGTGCTGCAGGCGTTTTCGTCGCCACTTGCGCCACGGGTGCCTCAGGCGCCACTGGCGCCACAGGCGCCGAAGGGTGCTGCTGCTGGAGGGGGGTGCTCGAGTTTTTGTTGACCTCGAGCCCGCCCAACAGCACGTCCACTGCTGTCGGGGCGGGCGATACTTCGTCTGCCCGCCGCTTGTTACGGCGATCGCCCGTCAATTCTCGGGCGTTACGGTCGGAGTCGGAAGTCGGCGCGGACGAATTGCCGCGGTTAAGTGTCGGCGTGGACGCCATAGTTGAGCGATTGTATGTAAAAATGTCGCGCAGTAAAGTTGAGGGTGACACTCCTCTCGGGAGACTGCGAGTTCTAGCCAGCTTGGACGAAAAGAAGTCTACTCGAACGGAAATGTTGATAGAGCCGTTGAAAATAGAGAAACGTGGGTGGAGGGAAATGAACTCCAACCCACGGTTTTTGTAGTTGGAGAAGGGCGTTTAGCGCGCTTCGACGTGTGAAAAAATGAGGAATGTGAAGAAAGGAGGGGTTTCACTAGCAGTAGTTGGGATACATATAGCAAACCCTAACAGGGTTGTACTCGCTATAGAGCACCCCACTACAGGCTAGATAATAACATTCTGACACACCCCCATAGCCAAAGTGGGGTGTAATCAGCACAATGAGCAGGAGTTCACAATAATAAGCAAAGCTAGAGGTAATCACAGCGGACAAGTGAGGAGGAGGAGGAACTGTGGAAGGAGAGAAGATGGGAGGCAACGACTGAAGCTGCAGAGGCACGGGCACAGGAGCGGCTGACTCAGTGGCTACCGAAGCAAGGGCGACGGACTACTGGAGTGACTGGCTCCGTGTCTAAGTCGAGCGGCAGGAGCAACGGACCCACTGGCGACTGGTGCAACAGGCTCACTGGCTACCGAAGCAAGGGCGACGGACTACAGGCGCTGCAGGCGACACGACAGCTACCTCCACACAACCTCCTCCAACTGACCCACACCCTTGACACACACCCTAACTGCTTCACCCCTAACTCCACTCCCATGTCACCCCCTCGTCCCACTCCGACGGCTCCAACACAACACATCCACCCCCCTCAGCGGCAGCTGCAGCACTGGGAGACGGAGGAGGAGGAGGAGCAGGGGACGGCGCACAGAAACTGCACCCCCATACCCCCCACCCCCAAACCCTAATTCAGGAGAACGGGCAGCAGCAGGGGTGGGGCGCCGTCAGAAGCACGGGGGACAGCGGGCAGCTCAGGGGCAGAGAAGAACGGGCCGCCCACGGGCCTGGGACAGCCAGACGAACCGCGCGCAGGCGGCCCGAGCCGCGCGCGGGCCTGGCGCAGCCCGTACGGGCCGCGCGCGGGCCTGGCGCAGCCCATATGGGCCGCGCGCGGGCCGGGCGCAGCCCGTACGGGCCGCGCTCGGGGCTAGCGCAGCCCGCGCTGGCCGGGACGGGCGACCGGGGACGACGGGCTGGTCCCCGTCGCCCGTCAAAGCGCCCCCCGGGGGCGACGCGCGGACCGACGGACCAACGCATGCTTGCGGGTCTTCGCTCGAATCCCCATTGCCAAGAATGTCCTGCTCGTGGGGATTTGATATCCTTGCAACGCGGAAGCGTGAATGCCGCTTAAAAAGTTCGGTTTGACTGCTAGAAAAAGAGAGGATGCTAATAAATGTCAAGGGACGAGACCTAACCAATTCCGGCCAGCACGATTAGGTTAGAAGATACAATAACATGAGCAACAACATCATCTAAAAAAGAAAGTAATGTTGCAACAGAAACCGATGGCCGTTCGCCAACCGAGAGGCCGTTCAAGCGTTGCGTGCTACGAGCACTACAAGCAACTACTCACCCGTACTGCGAGTGTAGGTTAAGACTCTAGCTGTAAGCGGAAGACGACCCACAGCAGTTAAAACTTACAAGCAGAGCAAGCTTGGAATGGAGAGCACGCTTAGATGAACAAATTAGGCAAAACAAGCACGCCCAGTAAGCAAACTAGGTATCAGTTTGTTGAGCTGGGAGAGACGGAAATTCGTGGTGTGAGCAAGCATGCCTCGCATTTGCTGGAAGACGAGACGACCTGGAATGTACCAAATTCCTCTACCAAAATTCCTGATGGCACTGGGCTGTTTTGGCAAGCCAGAGGGAGGAAATTCCTCTTCGGGCTTATACCAAACCAACCTTGACCCAGGTTAGCAATCAGGTCAACCATTTTGCACCAACTTAGGGACTTTGGCGAGGTACTCGACGGTTACCCGCTGTAACTAATTACCACATAAAGGACCGACGTGGATGGCCTCCTCGTCAGCACCGCCACCTGGCGCCATTTACCTTCACAAGCGGTTCGTGTGACCCCAAGGTGCAGGCAAGATGCTTCACACGTGATCGAACCT